AGAAGAAGAAGCAGCAGCAGCAGCAGCAGCACTAACAGCAGCAGCATCACAGTAGAAGCTCACTTAATTATGTTGACGTTTATGCCAAAGACGAAACTAGACGAAGCTCTGGGCTAAGAATCACCCACACAAATGGAAAGAGAGAGAAAGAGAGAGCAGAAACGAGCTGGCGTTTTGAGAACCCAACGGTAATCATTATTAATGATGACTTTTAGTTTACAAGCTAATTATTTGTTACTGTTATTTGGCGGGCAATGCTCGCTAGAGCTGAGCCAGCAGCCAGGGCGAGAGCGTGAGGAAGGCATAGGGAAAGGGCGAGAGATAAATCTCGCCTCAGGCAATCGGCATTCGGCATTCGGCATTCGGCATTTGGCATTGGCGACTTTCGCTTTGATATAATTTTAATTAATTTATGATATCGATGGCAGCCTTTGATGTCTCACTAATAACATTTTCTTGTGCACACACAACTATACATTTTACATATTAATATTTTGAATTGATGCAATCAGTGGAGCTGACTCAAAATTTAGTGATTGATCTTTTGCCGTGCCATTTACTGTAATATTGTTTTAAATGGCAAACATAATTACTAGCCATTATGAGCACATTTGAATTCCATAAGCCGCTTAGGCCCCGGACCAAAAACAAAGGCTAAGAAGCTAAGCAAACAACTAAGCCGAAATAAATGAGTCTATTGAACCATTATATATATTTATATGTATGTTATATATCCATATAAGTATATATATTCACATGAATATGCAACAGCGAACGCCCACAACATTCAGAGGTATTCATAAATTGCGAACTCGACCCTAAAAGCCAACTGAGATGTGGAAACCTATATGAAACCGGGTCAACAGAATTGCGCAGACGCGACAGACAACGGAAATTAAGTGCGAAAATCAGACGAAATTTGATGAAGCAAAAAAACTAGGGAAAATATTACAAATGCTGTAACACGAATTGCAAATACTCTGCAAAAGTTTTGCCAGTTTTGTAATTGTAAAAGTTAATGCAAAATTAATTTAAAAATTAATTATAATCAGAGTATTATCTGTGCCACTTGCTGTTAACTACATTTGCCTTAAAATAGCTCTATAGCTCCGTGGTTCTAACACTCTAGCTCTCTTGCTTTTAAGATATAGCTTCGTAACTCTCTGTCTCTAGCTCCATAGCTCTCTATCTCTCTAACTCCCCCACTCACCTTCTCGAACTCTTTAGCTCTCTAGATCTTTAGCTCAATTTCTTTCTACCCTTCTAACTCTCCAGCTTCCTAAGTCTTGCTCCCTAGCTCTCTAGCTTCATGACTCATGCTCTCTAACACCCTAATTCCCTAACTAATCTAACCTAGCTACCAAGCTCTCTAGCTCTTTAGCTCCCTAGCTCTCTAGCACTCTAGCCTTCTAGCTCTCTACCGCTCTAGCCCAATTCACAGTAATACTCTACATAAAAACAATATAAAAAGCCTTATATGTACTCACTGTCGAATACAAATCAGATCGTGCTAATCAATTCGCAAACAAAAACGACGATCGCAATGACGAAATTAATATTATTTTTATTATTTTTAGCTCTTTTTGTGGTCTTTGTTTTGCTTTGTGCTTTTGGTTTCTTTTTTTAACAATTACGCAAACAAATGCAGCAGCGACAACAACAATAGTAAAAAGAGACACACGCCACAAGGTGCGTGGGAAGAAATTGTAAGAGAGGTAAAAACAAGAGTAGCTCAAGCCAAAAGGCAAATGAAAACAAACAAGAAAACAATAAAAGTAAACAGCAAAAGAAATATTACAAAATTACAACAACAACGAGATGACAACAAATTAGATGCAGCACACACAGAAATTAAATGAACAAAACAACAACAAAAACACAAAAAAGAAATGCAATTAAAATGCACAGCAAACTGTGCAGAGGACGTAGCAAGCAAGAGTCGGCCAAAAAGGGGCAGAGTGGGGTCAGGTGCGCGGAGAGGTGGGCCTCGGCGCACTGCGTTGGGAATAATTAAAACCAATTTTTATATATTTTTTTGTTGTGTGACACAAAACAAAAGCGAAAGTGTTGAAATATTTATGCAGAAAATGCACAAATAAAGAAACGGCAACACCAAAAACAATGCGAACAACGCGAACAACAGCAAACGGCAAGTGTCACCAGCAACAACAGCAACAACAACAATAACAGTAGCAACGACAACGATATCCAATTGCAACAACAAAAGCACGAATTTTAATTCGCATTTTTATTAGCAGCAACGCGCATAGTGTGAAGTTTTCTATATGCGAGGGCTGCCACAACAGTTTGTGTGTGTCTCTATATAGCCTAAGCAAAGTAATTTCGTTCTCTTTTAAGAGGCTATAGAAAAAGTAATTGTATAAGCCTAATGCTTATCGATAAAATTATAAAATTAACTTGCAGTTCATGGCTGATTCAAGATTATTAACTAGCAATAATCATGAATCTGCTATAAACTGAAAGCTAATTTTTATGGACCTTTAACTTTTAAGTTGTTTGTAAAGGAAACTTCACATACCGAAGTCTGGCATTCGAACTGTTGGGATTGAGTTGGAATTGGAACTGAATCTTAAGCTAATTACTAAGACTTCATGGATTAGGTTTTGCAGCTTAAACTCTTAAGGGTCATTCTAGAAAACTTGGTATACTCTTGATTTAGATAAGATTTGATTCCATTGCTACTTTAAGGAGCTCAAATCAAGTGTAGTTATAAGCTTGTTGCTTCCTTGAAAGATCTGTAGATGTGTTTGGAGCTTGCAGAACAGAAAGTTTCTAGAGAGACAAGAGCTTGGCAATGTTTGCGAATGTTAATTTTATCATTTTATGTACATCTCTTTCTATCTTTTTACATATTCATAAAACAAATGTAGAGCTCTGCATATGTTTCTATGGCTCAACAAGCGCTCTTTCAATACACGTTCTCGTTAAATATTTAGCTAGGCAAACTTTTTATGTCAACCGCGATGTGTGCTTGCATTTTGAACAAGTGTTTGAATGGTGTGACTAATTTTTGCCTCTATTCCACTCTGGTGTTTGTTGTTGTTGTTACGGCTGTTACGGCGCATGCGCCACCGCCAGCAATTATTGTTGCTGTTTGTCTGCCAAATGTCTGCCCAGCAGCTCAGACGGCTCTCAGCAGGCAATGCCTGCTGCAGTTGTTGGTGTTGTTGTCATTTGGAAGTAATTAAAATGGAAATTGCATTCGCTGTTGGCCAGACGAACAATGCGCTCTGCTATGTGCGAACGAATGCTGAGGATGCTGCCAGAGTGGCGCAGGCAGGAGGCAGAGGAGTAGCAATTCACAGCCGTTGGCTCAGTTAAATGCGCTAATAACTTTATTCAGTTGTTGTCGGTGTTGTTGCTGCTGATAGATATCAGAGGCAAAATGTTGCAATGCCAGCAGCAACAGACAGCTACAGCAGCAGACACACACTCACAACTTGAAGACAATCGCACGGAAATTGCAAATGAAGTTGTTGTTGCTGTTGCTGTTAATGTTGCTGCTGTTGTCGCTTATTATCAAACATTACTTTTATTGCCGGCAACAATGGAATAAGTCAACTTTTATGCGGCAACTAAATAAATTTATACGTCACTCGCCACGCGAAAGTTCAGGCGTGCGAAGGGCACACAAAGTGCTTATCTAATGCGAACACTTTCAATTCCACAACAACAACCGCAGCAGCAACAGCAGCAGCAACAATGGCAATGACACTGAAGAGCAGCTGCAAAAAATTATCGCATTTTCATGACGCTTTAATTTAGTTTTCAGTGTAAACAACTGTCATAAAAGAAAGAGATAGATAGGCAGAGAGAGAGAGGGAGGGAGAGACTGGCCCAAAAAATAAAACAGACAAAAATGTTGCTGCCGTCATATAAAGTTTTGTAGCTAAACGTGGCCATCGAATTGGTTTTTACTTGCCGTAAAATTCATTCGAGCCTCATTTACTTTTATGCAACTGTCAATTGAGATGCGAAAGCAATTCGGGTCAACACAACGATTTGACAGCTGTAAGTCCACAAAAAAGGATAGTCGTATGGCAGATGGATGATGAAGTTGCTGCCAGCTGGAAAATGACCAAACGAAATGGCATTGAAAACTAATTTCTTTCAAATGTTTATGAATAGCCAAAGTTTGTAATCTGATAATAATCAAAACAAACTCAGCTGAGAGAAACGATTTTGAATTTCTTTGGAATTAATTTGAATATCTCTGTTCCCCACACAGTATATTGATCGAGGCGCTGCTTCTTTATTTATTATTTTTTTTTTTTTTTTGTTGAATAAGTTTAATTAAATGCTTCTTTTGGCTCTGTCTGTCGTTGGTTTCGCCAATCAACAGGCCATTTATTGTTAACGGTTTCTGGCCATTTTAGGGGCTCTGGCACAGAACATGTGTATCACAGTCATAAAGCGTTCTATGCCATGCCCGCTGGCTGTGTTCGAGCATTATTTATTAATAAACATAAAGCAACAACAATAATATATACAATATAGCTCCTGACGGCATGCCAATTAAAATTCAAGACGCATCGCCGCTTAATGTCATAATTATGAGCCAACTAAAGAGATTTACGCATTTTGTTTCATAACTTGGGCAAAAATGTTTTCGCCCCAAACACAATTCAGGCAAAAAATAAAAGTTTTTGTCTGCCATCGATTATATGTATATATTTATATATGTATATACTATGCAAAGAGCAGTTGGAAGCTCAGATAGATAGCGAAGCTTTAGCACGACAGCTTCGAGGCGTGAAAATAACAGCAGAGATATAAATATATAAATCTATATATATATATATATATATATATATGTATAGATGTATAAATATTAATAATTAAAGCGTCAGGCTGGGCGCGTCACGTAACAGAAATAGTTAAATTTAATTAGCCAAATTAGTAGCGAAATTAATCAAACATTTATTGAAACGAAATTTGGTAAATGTTTTCGCAAAAGCGTTCCAGGCGGGTGTGCACGACTTATAGACTAAGTAACTTATTTTATGCTCCCTAAATATCAGATTCGCATAATCTGGAATCATTGCGTTTCCGGTTTTGCCATGTGCATTTTATTTATCATAAAACTTCAAATTTGTTTTCCACTTTGGGCGAAAATAACTTATATAAGTTGTGTTTTTAAGTTAACAGTATATGAGGTATTCCAGTTGACCTCCCCAGTAAAAGTAAACACCGCCCTATAGAACCCATCAGCTAATATTTCAGGTAGATTTCCGTTGTCGAAGTTACACATGTCGAATATGTAAATATTTCTTGGCCATGGCCATAATAAATCTCCCTCGATTTGAGGCAAATTAGAGCAATTTTGCATAATTGGATACAGTAAATCATCATACATGACCTTTACTTCGGCAAACTTTTTTTGTGGTACACCGAAGGGCAAGGGCTTGAAATCCCTTTCGCTGCCGCTGACACTACGTACGATTGTCACCTCGATCTGAGAAGTAATTAGTATTATTAAAGTTCTTTAACATAGCTCACTTTCAGTGATATTCTACCATAGTTGTATTGTCCACATCGTAATTAAAGTTCACGAAACCCGTTATGCCAGTAATGTGGCGCCCCACACGCTCAACACGCCAATTCAAGCTAAGTTTTGTCTCATCATCGCTGTATCCTGATGCATCTATAATTTCGTAAGTCCAATGACGCTGAAGGAGTTTTCTGATTACCCAACAGTTCGAGCTTTCTTTCTATATAGACTTACCTTTCCCATACAACTCTCAAGGAAAGCCAAGAGCAGCAACAGCTTAAACGACCTCATTTTACAACTGAAAATAAATAGATTACTGATTAGTCCTCTGTTCGTACAGAGCCCTTTATATAGCACCTTTGCTGATTGGCTTATTCAACTATAATTATATACCCACGCATAACTAGCTTGCACACGCCAACAACATGTAGAACAAGTTGAAGTGCTCCACGCGGTAGTACTCGACTATGAGATACTCTGTACCATTCTATATATACAGAACAGCGCACACTCAAGCATTATTGCCGCATGGTTTAGTCTTTAGATATCGATCTATTTGAAAAAATAGGAGACCATTTATGCCTATCAATATGTCTAATAATAAGACTTCAGGTTTTGTGTTCTACAAACGTTCAGACAGATCAGCGATATATATATACCTCAAGGCATTTTAGAAACCTTCCGTTGGCAGTTACATGTATTTTGTATTAAACAAGATAACCAGACATTCAATATTAATGGGCTCAGATCTGTTATCAATTAAACATGCATCCAAATATTAATAATACCTTTTCAATTTATAATTATTTTAATTTCTATACTTAATTAAATTGTGCATTATGTCTACTTATTTATTCTGGTTCCGAACTTGTGTTTATTTTAACAATTGCGATCAAGATTAACAAATTAGGTCGGATTTCCATCGTGAATTGATAATTAAGCTAACAAGTTCCTGGATTCTTATACAGAGCGCTGCGACTATTAAATCTTTTATTGTTTTTGTAAAGATTTTATTAGATCAGTATTGAACTCACGGCGAAGGCCGGAATACAAAGAATGCGATTGTCCTGCGTTATTTTCTCTCTAGGATATCCTGAACCAATCTTTCTTAGTTATGGATAAAAATGAATTTATCATGGCTTATTATCTTTTCAGCCCAACTGTTAATAGCAGCGTGAAATGAAACTATTTTTAGAATACAGACTTCACTCATCCATATAGAGATAAGTAATTAATGATCATAGGACTCGAGCCTGGACTCTAGCTATTCAGTTGAGAACCAATCTATAGAGAACTGATACGGGAAAGTATACTGCCTCAGTTCTACGACTTTAATCGTGCTCAATCCTTTGCCTCTTCATATAACATATTGTTCAAATTATTAACCCATTGACTTTATTGTGCAAAGTATTTCAAAAACGTAATTAACAAAATTATGAATTATTGTAGTTTCCGAAAATTCTTGCTCTTAGATAAGCTTTGTTTTTACATAAACAAGATAGCTCAAACTCCAGTTGACCTCGCCGGAAAAGGTACAAAAGATCTTATAGTAGCCTTCAGACATTATTTCCGGTAAATTTCCTTTATCGAAATTACACATATCGAATGTGTAAAGATCCCTTGGCCATGGCCATAATAAATCTCCCTCGATTTGGGGCATATTCGAACAGTCCTTCATAGCAGGATAGACAATATCATCATACATTTTTTTTAAGTCCACAAGGCGTTTCTTGGGCACAGCCATAGGAAGCGGCTTGTAGTCGCTTTCGCTGCCGCTGGAACTGTGATGGATTATCACCTCAAACTAATTAAATGTGGTTTTATTATAACTCTGTTATAGAGGCACTCTCTGATTTTTATTTTACCAGAGTTGTATTGTCGAAATCGTATTGCAAGTCTCCGCTGCCCGAAATGCCGACAAGGTAACGACCTTGTCGCTCAATACGCGCTTCCAGTTTTATTTTGCTCTCATCTTCGCTGTATGTATGGATTTCTAACAGTTCGTGAGTCCAGAGCCGCTGAAATTGGTATCCCGATTAGCTGCAGGACTTACATATATTGTATACATAGACATACCTTGCACTCACAACTTCCCAGGAGGGCTAGCAGAAGCACCAAATTAAAGGCTAACATTTTGACTGTTTAGTTTTTTGCTGGTGTACAGCCCTTTTAAAGCACCTTTGCCAAATAGATTATCGCAACTATAATGATAGCCTTGCCTAAGCAGCACGCTAATGATATAAATTGTTATTAGTTCATAATTTAATTGATTTATTTACAAGAAAATTTTCCGCACCTAGATAAATAGATACCAAAATGCATACAGAATTTTATTGAGTGCCATTGTCCATATCGTAGTGCCAATCCAGGTGTCGTAAAAGGCAGCAAGGTTGCGACCTACTTACACACAGATTCGCTTTCATTTGATTTCTTCTGTGCTGCAGTCTCCTGCGTCTCAGATTCCGCAGTCCCGAAAACGTTCTCCAGGTTTCCTGATTAGATGCGCAACTCAAGTTGTATTGCCTTTATAGACACACCTT